AAAGTTCTCCCCTGTCTGTCGATGTCTGTATTGCCTGGTTTTCAACAGTGCCAGGTGCAATCTCTTTCGTTTAGACGTCAACATGGAAAATGAAGAAGTGTCTTATCAGCCGTGGGAATTTGAGTCGTGTAATGAGACCGGATTTTTATTAGGAGATCCTTTTTACTTGCCATCTGAAAGAGATGCCATCCACTCATGGGAACCTGGACTTGCTTTTTAGCCTGCGTAGCTGGCGGGATTTCGCGTGCGAGTGCTTTTGTTTTGGCGGCGAAGCCGTGAACGCGAGCGGCGAAGTCGTGAGGGGATTGGTGAGGAGTCGAGTTGAAACCATAAGAAATGAGGCAGGCGGGAATTTCACTCATGACTTCGCCGCTCGCGAATTTTCTCGCGGGCCGTGAAGAAAAATAATGGCGGCTCCGCCGCCAAATATCGCTCGCGAATCCCGCCAGGTACTCAGGCTACTTGCCTTTGTGTTGAATAAACAATTTGTATTGAGAGTTGCTTCAAGGGATCGAGTTCTAGACATACTGCAGCTTGATGAACTGACGACAGTGCCAGAGTTTCAAAGACTATTGTGAGGAATGCCGTATTATCATTGAATGATGACACGCTGTTTGTTATCACTACAACAGATCGGAATCCAGCAACACTTATGGCTTGGGACATTTCAAGTGGCACGCTCAAACCTGGGAAAAGAGTTTTTGAAGACACTGGTTGGCTTAATGAAAATAATCTTGTCGCTGTAAGAGAAGGTGTTCTGTTGCAAACCAGTAGCACCCTTAAGCTGTGGACTTTTTTGAGTGCATCCGAAGTTGGACCAACTTAGAGGATATCGCTGATGTAATCCCCATATCAGAAGAACGAGTGGCCTGTGACAGAAGGAGGAAAGTCATCATTGTGGATACAATCAGGGAGGGCATTCTGTCAACAGTTACTATTGATGGGAATTTTGTTGCATGCAACAGTAAATGTCACGTGATAACCACTGATCTTTGCGAATTGCAGATGCATTGTGATGTTGTTTTCTGGAAGATTTTGGAACCTTTTTGAACCCTTTTTCTTTCCTCGCAGCAAGACATTTTCTCCTACTGAACAGTAGTGCGTACTTGGTGATTCCGAAGCCCTTTTCGTCCTCGATGTAGATTTAGGAGAAAAACTCCGCACATTTCAACCATAAACTCAAAACCCCGCGTTTCCTAGAAACCTTGATTGCAAGTTTGTTAGTGACGAGGAGTGCGTTGCCTGCCTCAGTGATGGTTTAAGAGGTTATTTCCTTCAGCTGTTTAAGGTTAAGTCAGGTGACCTGCGGAGTGAAATTGCTGTAGAAAGCCGTGTGTACAGTTTAACAGCTTGTCCTCGTGAGCGTCATATCGCCATTGGCTTTACAGATTCCAAAGTGAATTTCAAAGTTTTTCGGGTGACGTTGCCGGGAGATAAACACAGCAGGAAGAACAAAAGGTCAGGTTTTATTAATAAGGAACAAAGTTACAANTTAATGAAAATAATCTTGTCGCTGTAAGAGAAGGTGTTCTGTTGCAAACCAGTAGCACCCTTAAGCTGTGGACTTTTTTGAGTGCATCCGAAGTTGGACCAACTTAGAGGATATCGCTGAAGTAATCCCCATATCAGAAGAACGAGTGGCCTGTGACAGAAGGAGGAAAGTCATCATTATGGATACAACCAAAGGTATTCTGCCAACAGTTACTATTGATGGGAATTTTGTTGCATGCAATAGTAAATGTCACGTGATAACCACTGATCTTTGGGAATTGCAGATGCAATGTGATGTTGTTTTCTGGAAGATTTTGGAACCTTTTTGAACCCTTTTTCTTTCCTCGCTGCAAGACATTTTCTCCTACTGAACAGTAGTGCGTACTTGGTGATTCCGAAGCCCTTTTCGTCCTCGATGTAGATTTAGGAGAAAAACTCCGCACATTTCAACCATAAACTCAAAACCCCGCGTTTCCTAGAAACCTTGATTGCAAGTTTGTTAGTGACGAGGAGTGCGTTGCCTGCCTCAGTGATGGTTTAAGAGGTTATTTCCTTCAGCTGTTTAAGGTTAAGTCAGGTGACCTGCGGAGTGAAATTGCTGTAGAAAGCCGTGTGTACAGTTTAACAGCTTGTCCTCGTGAGCGTCATATCGCCATTGGCTTTACAGATTCCAAAGTGAATTTCAAAGTTTTTCGGGTGACGTTGCCGGGAGATAAACACAGCAGGAAGAACAAAAGGTCAGGTTTTATTAATAAGGAACAAAGTTACAATACAATAACTTGAACCGAGCCACCTGAGAGATTTTAACCAATCACAGTACGATTTTCGAACAGAAGAATCTAAGTTGATCTCACCAATCATGTTTGAGTAGCGCGTTTCTTGGCCCTTGGAACGAACGATTTTGATTGGCTGGTAATTGGATTCAAATTTCTTGACTTAAACAGCACCACAAGCGAGCGATCAAAATAATTTCAGTTGAACCTAGCGCGTAGAAAACAATGCGTTACGGTCCAAGGACAAAAAATAATAAATTTGAAGAAATGATTTTCAACTCGACCGAAAGATCCTGTTCTTTAACGAAAACAATTTTGAATCCAGCACAAGATAGCTAACACCCTGAGTCTGGCAACAAATACAATAGAGTACATGACACGCGCCCATTCAGAGTGTTCGTCCTTGGTTCAGATTATTTTTGTCGCTCATTTGTCAAGCTGTTCAAATCAACGACAACAGCTAACATTGACGCCGCTCCAACCACGAACAAACTCAGCTACGTATGGCTCAAACTCGTGCTGTGATTGGCTGAAAACTCTTTGGGAACCCACTTGAAGTCACTACACTGTGAAAGCAACACAAAGAGTTAAAATTGTTTAAAGCATTTATCAATACTAATATCACTGAGGTAATCCCGGATATTAACATAAAACTTGCATTAGAAATGAAATTATGATAAACGTGAAACTCGGTGAACAATAATTCGACCAGTTTGTCGCGAGCACGGGACAATGGGGGAAAAATTTAAGGTCCCCGCGGTCCAAACCTATGAACTACGGTATACCAGTCGAGTGCTCTAACCACTGAGCTTCTGATAACCCCTGGTGACTTTTTCCAATAACACTTTTTATTATAGCTTGTCTCTTGTTCATCAATTTCCTCTCCGTGTTCAGTTCATCGATTCTTTTGTCCTGTAACTCCTCCCCCATCCCACGCCTGTATGACTGAAATAAAAGAATTTAAATATTTCTTCTTGATTCAATTACATATTTCACTGGTAAATAACATGCATGTTTGGTCTTCCTACACAAGAATGATCTGTGTGTTTGATTAGACTGGTCATCATATTGTACATCATGTTGTTTATGTGATCTCATATTTCAATTTTTCTTTTTCTTTTTTTCGTCTTTTGAGGCAGGATCAAGCCTAAAAAGTGATAAGAGTACACTGCAGCTAGTTGGAATTTCCAGACGAATCGGCTGGC